ATGTTTAGTGCCTCTGCTATTTCCTAACAGCTTGCATGCCAGTCTTGCTCCACCAGTTGCAAAATTTCAGTGACTGACTGACCAGAATGAGGTGCATTTTTTGATATCAAAATTTTCAGAACAGAATCAAGCAAGCCACTCCTGGGTCCTTCGTTCACTCACAGCATTCTCACCATAAACTTCACAAATTTTTCAGCATGTTTTTGCAGTCTTTTTACCTTTTTTATAGTAAAGAATCACATAATGTATTTCTTCAGATATTTCATCAATTTTCAAATCTATAACTTTTTACATAAGCAACAAATTAGAAAACTTTTTTCACAAACAGTGGAAGCTGAATGTCGCATTATAAACACATATTCGTTTGAGACAGTCGGGCATGTGTTGCCGGATAATAGGCATCAAGACCATCTAGTGGCCAATATATGGCCCAATATATTTTGATTGGAAAATATTTCAGCTGCATCCAAATAAATATAACTTGATTGATGCATTACTTTTTAAGAAAGATCATTTTGTTATTACTAATAAAGACGAAGCATGGAAATATGTAATTTGCTTTAGAAGTGTTTCCAACCTGCTAATTTGCCACAGTTTTTAGTTGACTTTGGAATTTTTAAAAGTATCTCCTAAGAATTAAAATGAAAGTTATAGAACATTTAGATTTTCAGAAATTATTAGCAATGAAGTGCAGAATAGCTGCATCTCGTTTTTGGGGGTTCCTTTTTAATGTTTCGGCTCAAAATTTATTGCAAAAGATAAACTAGCATGAAACATGAGTTTCTAGTGTGATATTACAGTTTATTCCTGGTGCTTTTGGCTTTTGTGTGTGTGCATCAACTCAGACGTGAATATAGTGACTACCTCTGACTGTGACCAGATTTTCTTAGAATGCAAGTAGTCAGTCTTGAACTTTTTCAAAGACACTGTTAACTTAGAACATCAGATTCATCTAGAACCTTATGTAGTTGTTTTAGGGAGGTTGTGCTGTTACATTCTTATATGTATTTATTACTTTTATTGTTGTGTTTTTATGAAATACTTATCAGCTTATGGGACACAACTTAAAAATCAGAAAATTTTGAACAGCACTTCACAGTTGGACATTATAAAGTTGGATAGCCCACCTTTATAATGTTTGATTAATGCAATAAAAAGGGTGGTAATAGCTTATTTTTATGCTGTATGTCAAAAAGTAAAAGTAGTTTTTAATTGCATTTATTTCACTTAATTTTTCAAGTTTAGAGTAAGGTTTGATATATTAAAATAAGGTGCAGACATTTTTTTGTTGTACTGCTTTTTATCTGTCTGAAATTATGGTGTAAAGCAGTGGTCGCCAACCAATGGTCCGTGAAAACTTCTTGATGGTTTGCAGAAAAATTAGGACATTTCTATTTTTATGAAGATTCAGTTTAAAAAGTGATGAGTAACAAAACCTATTTTGGAGTATGGATTATACTTTTTTTAAAAATTTTAGCTATTACTGTTAGCAAAATTCCTTCTGAATTTAGTGATTTTTTAGCTACTTTTGCAGGTGTATCTAGCTACATTTGAAAGTGAGAGTTAGCATCCATGGATATGCTGCTGTTATCAATAATAGTGCAAACTGGAATTCTGTTTCTTTTTGAATTACAAAAATATGCTGTTGTAGTCGTTCATAATGGCCCTACGCGCGCGCTTACCCGGGACAATTCCGAGAAACGAGATTCTAGTCGCACTGCTTTAAGCGGGAGGCTTCCGAGAAATGTTTCGTTTAGCTAGGAGGAACATGTCCCGGCTACGAGCAACATTTTAAGACTTGTACGAAAATGTTCCGGCTGGAGACGTGTTCCTCGAACGTTCAACCAATCAAGGATTTAACAATCCGAGCAGTATGAGGGCGGGCATTGTCCTGTTGAAATAAAGCGCCTGGCAAGCTTTGAAGGAAGGGAACAGCTTCAGGCTGTAGAACTTCACGGATATACCGGTTGCTGTTCAGATTGCCCACAATTCGTAGCAATTGAGATCGTCTATGATATGCTATGGCGCCCCAGACCATAACTCCGGGTGTTCGTCCACTGTGGCGTTCGATAATGCACTCCGGAAGGTGGCGTTCACCGGCATAGCGTCTGACACGAATGCGGCCATCATGGTACCACAAATTAAAGCGGGATTCGTCAGAAAACACGACATGCTGCCAATCAGCACGCCAGTCTCTATGCTGATTGGCCCATTGTAGCCGCAGGCGGCGATGGTCGTGCGTTAGGGGGATCCTGTATAAAGGAGTCCGTGCGCGCAGTCCACACTGCAGCAGACGTCTACGAATTGATGAAGCACACAATGAAACACCTGTAGCTATTGACCACAGTGCTGCCTATTGTCTAGAGGAAGCTGTACGGTCCGTCCGCGCCATGCGGACCAGGTGTCTATCATCGCGAGCTGATGTCACATTTCGGGGTCCACTCCCGGATTTCCGAGTTGTCCGACACTCGTCCGTCCACTGCTTCCAAACGCGCATCACTGTGCTGCTGTTACGCTGCACACGAGAGGCTACTGCACGATACGACAATCCAGCTTCACGAAGGCCGATGATTCTCCCTCGTTCAAACTCTGTAAGTTGTTCAAATCTCGCTCTCTTTCGTCGACGAGGCATAAGTACAGATTGAGTTAACGTTTACCACTAGCAGATAACCACCGATAACCATACACGCCTCGCTACAGCCGTCTATTTATTCGGATCCATCAGCCGTTCAGAGGGCGCTGCTCAGCATACGCATGCGCTACGGATTTGCAATTCTAATCATTTGCATATCATGTGCTACTTTGCATTTCCTGAAAATTTCAGCTCACTCGCGTAAGTCCTTCATGGTGTTGCAATTTTCACAAACGTGAGTGTAATTTATGAGTATTTGAGTACTAAAGAGTGTACACATTTTGTTATTGGGTTAATTCATAATTATATCATATGTATGATCTATGTAATAAAAACATGACTAATAAATAATAAGAAATGTAACAGCTGTACATTTATAACATTTGATTACTTAAAACAGTGCACAACTGATTATCACTTTCATGTCTGTTTACATAATGAATTGCACTTTCTAATTAAGTGCACGGGCGTACTAGTGGCTGAAGTGTCGTTAAACACTGGTAGTTTTGTCTCAGGTTAGAATGCCGCGAATGGGCTGGCTACATGACGTTTCCTTGGTTTGCCCCATTTGTAACTGGTATACGAGCCAGTTTTAAAAAATCTTCTACAAAGGGATATCCCTCGTCTGCCGTAATCACATAAAACAAACTCATGATGTGCACCACCTAATTTCTAGAGTTGCTATAATTAATGTGTTTTAGGTGTATTACCGAGTGTTCTATGAGACAGTAAACAACTCGCGCATGTTTGATTGCTCATGTATTCATATACTTTATTTGATCTTCATTTTGCTGAATAGTATTTATTGGCTGTGAGGATGTAAATATCAGCCATATAGACTTTTGTCATAAAAGTTCTTTTTTTTTTTTTTTTTTGTCTGTTTGTTTGAATGAACAGAACAGTAATTTTGAGCCATAAAGTTAGTCAAGGTCAGAAGGTAGTCACCAGGTCACAAATTTTCCAGTGAGCCATCAAATTTTCATTGCAACTCAGACAACAGAAAATACACATAAATAATGTCTGATAAATAGACTTATCCAGCACACGTTTTAAAACCCTCTCAGCGTTACGACCGGAGAATTCCGTGCGGAAGGTTGCCGTCCACATTCATTATACATGAAAATTTCTGCTAGCTTTTAATGTATCGGGTTTCAGTTTGAATGTATTATTGGAAGAAAAAGAATCAAGGTAAAAAATGAAAGAGTCATTTTTTAATTAAAATCAGGAAAATATCACTTATTCATGACATTTTGGGGAACTTTGAAATTTCAGAGCTAAACCCGTAACGCTCAGAGGGTAAACTATTTTTAGTGTATACAGAATTTGGCAATTACTGATGTAATTGATTACTGTAACCAGAAGTGTGTTTATCTGTTACTTGAAGTGTCAGAGGGGAGATCAAAGTGATTAACTTTGATAGCAATCACCTTTCTATTATCTTCCATTACTAACAATAAAGTTTAAAACAAAAAGCGTGTGAGTAATACAAAACAACACGAAGAAGTGAATGTCACTTGAAAGGAAATGTCACTTTCGCCAATCTGAGCGATAACTGATTCTTGTTTGGCTTTCAGCCTGTTTACCTAGTGAAGATGGTAATCCTATTTCGCCAAAGGGCGTTTCTCAGAACTGATGCTGCAAACGTTTTGTTCCGGCAACAAATATCGTATGTGATAAGGGTTTAACAGTTTTTCTCCGTGTCAATAGGCAACTTGATAGATTTTATGAGAACCATCTGTATTCTTGTTTATAATTACATCACTGGAAGTTTCCTTTTTTGTTTTGTCTAACTGTTGGTCGATGACACCAGTGCTGAGTAAACAAGGATTATTATGTTTACAACAATTAAAAATTGGCAGCATAACACTTTCAGTTTATTGATATTGCTTTGCGTTTGCCAATTTGTTCTTGCTTTTCGTGAAGTTCCTTTTTAGTGATATAGAAATGTGAAGCTGCTTGTACTTTTCATCAGGGGCGTAATCTGAATTTCCATAAAGGCATGCTGCTGAACACCAAATGTTTCGAAAATTAACAAGTGGAAATTAGAATTACATGTATTGGAAAGTTGAATAATGTTTTTGCACATTAATATGTTGTTTTAAGGTCTTAGTTAAGGTTTTTGTTTTTAATTCATATTAGTAGTCCGCCAAATATAAAATTATATATGCAGTGGTCTGTGAAGTTCTAAGGGTTGACGATCGCTGGTGTAGAGTGTGACTAATTAAAAAGAAAAAAGCATTAGATTTCAACATATCCATTTTTTTGTTTTGAAACTATTATAACTTTTTAATTAGGAATAGCTTGTATTCTTGATTTGTGTCCAAATTTAGTAATAGCTGCTTAGTGTAATTTTTTTTTTTTAATACAGTTGAATTCCAGATACAAAGAAACAAGTTGCCAGATTTGAAACCATTACACAAAATCCTGTTCAACAGAGTGGGATCTGTAAGTAATGCATAACGTTTTATATAAGCGTTTTTCCCCCTTCTTAATTATGTTTAGATGAAGTGAAATGCTCTTCTTTTACAATAAGTTAAAAAAGATAACAATGTCTTTTTTTTTTAAAATGCTTTATAAGGCTTTGAAATATATGTTATGTGACCCATTAAAAATTTTTTATAAAACACTATAGAAACAAATGTGGCCAAATAATATGTAGTTTTCTATTTTAGGGCAATGAAATAAAGAAAAACATTCGAAAGTTTTGTGGATTTACTTTTGAAAAGAATTCCCAGGAATATGAACGTAAAAAAGCAGTTGTTGAAAAGTAAGAGAAATAGAATTTGCACACATTACTTTTAGATAATGAAAAATTATAAGTATCTAAGTAAAATGGTGCCTGTTTAAATTAATTTTATAGATATTAAATAAATAAAAAATTGCATCTAAATTTAGGTTTCTGTAATGTATAAATTCATTATATAGTACTTTAAAAAGGTAAGTTTCCAGTTTTGTCAAGATTTTTCATTTGTTGTATAAGACATTTGTTTCATGAAACACATGCTTCTGGAGCACAAAAATTGGTTTATCTATTTATAGGTCAAATTCTTTCATTGCATGAACTGTTTAAAAGTACACATTGAAAGTTTTAGTTATTAAAATATTATACTATCAGAGCTGCCAAATCTCTGGATTTAGATGAGAGACTTCCGATTTCCGACCCTACTCCCGCTAACCCGACCTTTCTCCTATTCTTAAAATTTCTCAGTAGCTTGTCTTAATACTTCATCATTTGCACCCAAAAAATGATTTTTGGCATCTGAAAGTACTTAGTTTCTCTTTATATTACGCATGAAAGAAAACCAAAGTTGTTTCGTCGGTTAGACATGGCACACTTCTGCTTTATGTGCAAGAGCATATATGCCTGAAAACATTGTGTTCCAGTTCTCCAATGAGCATCAAGCTTCACTTTCTGTCATCTGTCATCTATTAATGGATTCTCAGAGAGTAGAATCAGCCTGCTTTTAGTAAATTTAGAGATGTAAAAGCAATGTATTCCCCCCTGGACGAAGCAAGACTCATCTTTCAGGTGCCGTTGTGCATAGCCGTTTCATTCGTCAAGAGCGTAAAAACTTTCAACATTTATTTTTAACATACCAAGCAACCGGTAATTAATTCATATGGTGTCTGTCTTAAAAGCAATAAATGTACTTTTAACAATTTAAATTTTCATTACTAATATTATACAGTCAAAAGTCATTAATCCGGAATGATCTATAATCCGGACCTCAAAGCTACAAACTTTCTGCGCATGCGTTGCGTTGATGCATTGCATAGGCGTTTACATGCGCGCAAGACCTTTACGGCTACGAATATGCGCATGTGCATAATACGTTTATACATGCGCATTTAATGTATAACAGACAGTATAAGCTAAGCTAAAATTATCTAATTATCTAGTTCAGTTAATGTTGCAGATTGCGCTGTTCCTTAATCTTCTAGTTGGATCCGGCTTATTATTTTTTGCAGACTGTTAGAGCAATTTTATAAAAGTAAGCTTGAACTTTCGATTATGTCGAAAAGAATTTCCGATTCTGGAGCTGCCAAGGGATCTACAAAGCGGAAGCATGTTTCGATGTCCGTCAAACAAAAAGTGGAATTGCTGCAAAAATTGGATAAAGGCTTATGCTTTGCTTCTCTAACCATTCCAAAATCTGTTTATCAATTTCACGCTGCTATTCAAGGGGGGGGGAACGTCGCGGCACACTATCCTTATCTTCAGGGAAGATGTTTTTATTTTATTCGGCTTATAATCCCTTACTAAATGTAGTATGTCATCTCGATGTACTCCGTCTTTGATATGATTTAAATCAAATTCCTCGTCATTATAAATATCACGAATACATATTAAATAGTTTTCTGATTGCAATTTTCTAATTTCGACTATGCGTAATGTATGCTTTACGCATGCACGCATTGGAAGAAATGTTTAATAAAGTAAACAAATAAATATTAAGCTTTTTTTTTTTTTTTTGTAAATTTGGATACCCTTTACATCATAATTGCTCTTTATTTCATAAATTACCGTTTCATATTATTAATTTTATAATTTCTGCATGCCATCTTACCAGATTTAAATTGATGATCTATAATCTGGAAAAAATGATGATCCAGAATCGCTGAAGTCCCAACGAGCCCAGATTAAAGACTTTTGACTGTATTTTTAATTTATTGTTATAGGCTTAATTAATGGTATAGGATCATTTGTTTTGTTATTTTTATGTTTGTTTACAATTTTAAAGTTTTTAATACTTTCAAATTTTTAATACTAAACTCCTTAGTTGTGAGACTGCAATGTGAATTTCCGGTCTTTTTAATTATTATGTTTTTGATTTTAAACAGTAATAAAACAAACCAGGATAAGACATACTGTAGTAGGGTGATTTTTTGGACATGACTGGAAGAGTATGTGTCTCAGGAGACAATACAGGATATAATGACTATAAAATGTTGTCTCAGTTTTTCAAACAATCGGAAATTAAAATCAAATTGTCTTTAGGAATTTAAAAATTGAAAATTTTCCTCTGGTTCATTATTTTGGAAGCAGCAAGCTGCATACAGCTCTTAAAAATTAAGAGGAAATAACTTATGAAAATTTCTAAATTTATGTGTTTTAACTGAGCGGTCTCGAGGAAAGGGGATTTAACCGAAACTGCAAGGAATACATTGTATGCTCTTCGTTTTCAAGTAACGATTCATGTTTTAAATGTCATCAAATTTGCATATATGTGACATATAGACAATAGTGAAATATTTCATATAAATTCAAGACAATGAATAACATGCCCTGCATTTTACAGTGCAGTTTTACTATCAATTTTAACCACAGCTTCATCGCATAAAAAGATTGTTACTTAAATATGCTGAATTTGGAAGAAGTCTCCAAATGTGCAGTGAATTGCAGGAATTGAATATCCATGGGCAGTTTGGTGTGTATGGATAATTTGAAAAACAGTGTGAAAAGCCTTGAAAAGGTCGTTCTAACCTTGTAAGTGCTCTCAGGTTAGATTGTCATGAGGTATTGCACCAGAATATGTGGACAGAAGATACTACTTGAATGATTGTCTTGCATCGTTAACTGACTTGAGCCAGATTCAGCATGCATAAAATTATGATGCCTTTAATATATTTGTATATTCATTGCTTTGAGATTAATCAGCTGGCAAATATGGTAATTTATGTTAAATAATGCATTTGTACAAACTGGTTTTTGTAATTTTTAGGGTTTACTCGTACCGTCTTCCTGTTGTCTGACCTGCTCACAACATGACACTAGAAGATTCATTCTGGGTCTTCTAGTAAAAAGCTACATGTTAAGAGTCCACTCTTGTTCTGAAAATTTTCTGTCATGTCTGGTTTTATTTATCTGCAAAAATAGCAGTTTTACTAAATTAAGTTCCCGGCAGTGCTTAACAATAAGCAAATTAAGTCCTTACTGCTGATTCATCATATGCTTTGAGTGAATATCCTTTCTTCTGAATGGAAAAAAGACATTTTATTTGTTCATTTTTCATTAGATTGTAAAAATTTCCCCCACCTTCTTTAATTGTGATAACTTGTGTAATGTATTCCTCTGTATAACAATAAATCCAAGTACTATTCATGTGCTAAAGAGAGAAGTAGGGAGCACTAAAGGTAATTAATTAATTTGTCTATTGGAAATGCAATATTGCATTTTTTACTAGGTAACATGACATTGTCATGTTTTTTAAATGTAACTGTAGAAGCTTGAATATTGTATTTTTCAGTAGCGGAGCTTAACCCCCTGACTGCTCAATTTGTGGACCGAAAATGCTTCCAAAATTGGTTTTATATATATATTATAAATCTGTGTTTATTGGAGAATCGAAAGGTGCACTTTCTCTTTCTAGAAAATATTTTTTATCATGAGAAATTAAGTTGCCAGAAAAACCAATTTCAGATGTTATCACCAAAACATCTTTTTTTAAAATAAATTTCAGTTGAAAATTACAGTAAATTTCTATTTATTGCATAATATAAAAATGTAAAATGTATAAAATTTAAGAAAATATAAAGCGCTGAGGGAAAATTACCTTAGAAATGCAGTTTAGTATAATAGAGTTCAAAACAGGGTTCTAAGCAAAGTCCAACTTCTGCACCAGATTCAATAAATCTAATTATTAATTTAATCAATAAATCTAATTAATGATTTAATTAAATAATCAAGATAATTGTTGAATGTTTTCTAGCAACCATTTCTGTAAGAAAAATGTGAAGTTTGAGTGCTAATACCACATGCCTTCCAAAGTTACGATAAATTTTTCTTTTATTCCAATTTCTTCAGTGATTTTTTTTTATTTAGCATAATTTTAAATTTCAATTTTAACAGGTTAACTGCAGCTATTCTCAAACATGTTTGTGAAGTCCTAGATTTGGAGCGTTCTGGAACCAAGGAAGAAATAGTCTTGAGAATATTGGAATTCTTGTTGAATCCGAAAGATTCTGGGAAAAAAGTGCCATCAAAAAAGAGTAGGTGGAATGCATTTAGTAATTTAAAGATTTGCACTTCAAATGAAAGTTGTTCGTAAAATCTTGGTAGGTTTTTTTTAACCTAAAATTGAAGTGCAGCAGTAATTTATTGAGCAGTTCATTAAAACTTAGTTTTTTAAATAATATCTTGCGTTTGTGTAATATTCTGATTTTCTGACTTAATTGCTGATTTCTGATTTAATTTTCTGAATGATAATAATTTTATATGAATGCATAACTTATATCTTATTAATCTCTGTCTGTTTCAGCAAATGCCAGTAAAATTATATCACTGATCAATGAAGAATCACGTGCATATTTGCAGTGATAAGCTATTCATGATTTCTTGATTTTATACTTGAAATGTGTGTGTGAAAAATTCTTCCTGTAAAACTTTTATAATTGTATTCTGGAAAAGGAAAGGCCACAATCATGAAATTTTTATTGTTCACTAGATACTGTTCTTAAATATCTTATAAATTGCACAATATGTCTGTATAAACAAATCTTGGAACAATTGAAGAAAGCCACAGGAATGTTTTTGTTAGGTGTGTGTAGCAAATTCTATTTATAGTTTAAGTAGGTGGAAATATTAAATTTTAGTTGTTTTAAAATCAAATCAGAAGAGAAACATTACAAAATGAAACAAAATTAGCAAAATAATAACCTTGTTTGGCATAGGATTAGTCGAGAACTCAAGACTGTAACAACTGTTTCTTCCCAGTCTTATAGGTGTCTTTGCTCCTGAGGAAGTTACCTGAACCCATCTGACATCAAATTGTTTGAGTTCTTGACTAAATCTGTAATTTTATTTGTTTAATTCAAATCTCCAAATGTGTGTGCAGCATAAATTATATGCAGGTTTTGAGGGTTACAAGTTTTTCACTCTTTTTTTATTTATTACTTTGGAGTAGGTTTTATTAGAGATTTCATACTGTGGATGTTCTATCATTCTTTTTAACTGAGACAGTTTAGTAAACAAGATGAATCCAATGTGAATGTAAGGTTGTAATTTAAATTGCCCCCATTTAGAACCACTGAGCAATATTTTAAATTTCGTATGCCAGTAGGATTCTGTACTGCCTTTGTTATGAATACATTTTGGATATTACTATAATTAAAAGTATGTAGACCAATATTTTAAATGAAATTCAAATTTAAAACTGTAAAGTAGAGTTGCATATGTTTTATCACATCTGGCTAGATTTTTCTGGTCTTGAACATAACATGCTGAATTTTTTTGCGGCTGAATTGTGCCATTTCTAAGCTTTTTTATTATTATTATTTCCAATGGTGGATTAGAAATTTGGCAGTATAGAAAGGAATTGGTATCTGTTATTTGAGTAATTTTGGTTACCTTCTTCGCCATGGAGTTAGCTATTTCATTACCCTGAGTCTACAGTGTGCTGGTACCAACTGCAAAGCAACCTCTTGTGGATTTTGATTAAATCATTAAGGGAGATGAATATTTTAAATATCAGCTGAAACAGGAGCTTCAGATGAGACAATGGTCAGGAGGGTAATTCTAGAATCTGATAGTATAACAGCCCATGAATATTTTTCAGATTGGCATTAGAGCTGTGACAAGGCAATTTGAATTGCAGAGATCATGTCAAAGGCTGTTTAAACCTTCTGACAGAAGTGCAAAATGAGAAAAGCCTGCAGAAGATGCCAGTGCCAGTATTGATACGGTCATTTAACATGGAGCCGTCTGTAAACACATGTAGTCACTCATTATCTGGGCACAATTAATGAATAGTCTCCAAGGCTACAGCATTTGAAATTAAGTTATTTGTTTCTTAGAAAATGCATTTGATAGGTTTATCCTAACCATGGACTTCCCTCCTTCAGGCATTGTAACTTGATGAGACTTTCCATTTCCCAGTTCAATCCTAGTTGTTCTCTCGTATGACAAACTCTCTGAAGGAAACCATACTGGGTTTTAAGGTTCCATGAGGAGATTACAAACGGCTATTCCACAGGGGAGAATAATCTGGTAGTCTTGCGATCTTTTCTCATAAAATTAGTGCCTTCTTTTTGATCACTGATTCAGTACTCATGTTGGGTTGATATCAAAAGCATATCAATGAGTGTTGTCTTAAATAGCTTCCATGATGAGAAGATGGGCCTTGGAATGGAATTTTTCCAAGGTATGAGTAACTTGCTTACCTGTCGCCACCAAAGGTTCGGAACAGTAAGTAATAAGTGGCAAAATATAGGAATCATAGGTCAGGTCATGCTTTGTTCTGCAGCATCTCCACTTAGAGCCATAAATTTTCCATAAAGTAAGTCTCTTTAACATGTTTCATATTTTTAACATGCTCTTTCAATGTCAGTTTACAGTAAAAAAATTATACCCAAATAAGACAAGTGTTTGGTCTGAAGAGGGAGGTTTTGATAAAATAAATCCAGCTTGATCGGTTGGTGTGCGAGGGTAAAAGTTTTGATATGCAGTTTTTTTCTATATTTTCTTCCATATTATTAACATGACACCATTCGCTTAGTTTATTGAGAGCCTGATTTAAAGAAGTTTCAGATTTTAATATAGCTTGTTTTTTGTGATTTTTCAGTCCAGATAAACAAATTGTCTGCATAAAGTTGTCATTTGACATAACTAATCTTTTATAGGTCAGATTACAAAGTTCGTACTCTACAGATTCTCTGGCCGAGAAAACTTTTGAACCAGTAGAACATAATTGACAGGCCTAAAGGATACCAAAATTAGATCGCTTGAACAAAATACTTTCCCTGCAAACCAAATCATGAACAGATTTTAGCCCTACAAAAATAGCTTATAGAATGTTTTTTTTGTCCAATGCATCCTTTACCATCTGGCTAAGGAGAGCAACATGTTGGTTAGTTGATCTGTACTAAATCCTGCTTTCTTATTAGCTGCAGATCCAAAATTGTCAATATACCAGTTTAACCTTCTTTCAATTATTCTTTCCATAGTTTTGCATAGTATACTTGCTGTAATCTCTAAAATCTCTCTGGTCGTTTTCCTTTTTATAAATTGGTATTAAAATAGATCTGCACCACAAGTTTTTTAATTTCTATGCTTTAAAACCATCTATTTCATTCTTCCAATGCTGAATAAGATTGATAACAGAGGAATGAGTTGACAATGAAAGCAATTTAAATTTATTGGGTCAGTCCATAAATTCGTGCTCATTTTTGGTAAATTTTTAAATAATATTAAAGAAAAACAGTTTTAACATTTTAATCAGTTATATATTTTCTTACATTATCTACAATGCGAACGTACTCATTGTGCTCAATATTCTGCCCGATGGAGTAAAACAAAAGAATCATCAGATACATTACAACTGTAATTTCCTGTTTAACTGTGGTAGCACAGGCATAATAAATAATTATATATTTGGCAGTTTTTAGCTGTTAAAATTCTTCCGTTGTAAAATGCATCGTGTTTTGCTTTCAAATATACTTAGTATTACAAATAAATTATATTGAGCTGTGATCAGTTGTGGTGGGTACCTTTCTGTTGCTGCGATTGGTTTATGCCTGTTGCCTTTCACTTCTTTTATTAACCAGCAATTTCAGACCAGAATGAAGTTGTTCTGCCCAACTGCCTAAACACTTGAAAGATTGTTGAACTAGGAAATCAAAACATGCAATAAAGTTCTCAGTTCAAAATTATAATTTAGTTTAAAAGCTCATTCCAGAAATCTAGAATTAACTCAATACTCCTGCCCACCAGCCTCCAAGCAGTAAAAGCCAGTGAACACTGGTAGCTCATTCTGAGGTTCGAGGTCTGGCGAATGGGGTGGCTGCAGGGCTGTTTTCATGGTTTTCCCCATGTGTAATGTAGATATGAGCCAGTTTCCCTTAAAAAGACCCCCATGAAGTATCCCTCCCTTTCTGTAGTAGGGCAGAGCATGTAAAGAAAATATTCCTTCTTGCCACGGCAGGTTTTTGCTTCATTGGCGAGGCAGGAAAAAATTGACCAAGCAAAGCAATTTCCCCTTCCTCTTTCGGATCCAGTTGAACTGATGAAAATGTCTCCAGGGGCAAAAAATTTTCTTAATGCGTCGTACCATTTCTCCATAAGCTGTTTCAGGGGAGACAATGTTTTCTTTTTACATGATGCTTGAAATTCTAGTCTAACCAGTGTTGGTGTTGAGGAATTTTTGAAAACTGTTTGATATGGAAGGTAGTGTATTTTCCCCTCTGCTTCGTTATTTGATACTTCGACCACTCGCGATTGTAACCAGTCTTGTGTTGCTGCATTATAGTCTTTTAATTTGTCTTCTAATTTAAGTATTTTTGTGGCAGAAAGTAATCTCTTTTGAGCAGTACCTCTATTGAATTATGGTAAATTATCCGTATCATCGAACATTAGCAAATTGACTTCATATCTGCCATCATATTTTTTTCTCAAAGTTCTATGAAAGTGATCTAATACAGTCAAAAGTCGTTAATTCGGACACCCATAATCCGGAATGATCTATAATCCGGACCTCAAAGCTAAAAACTTTCTGCGCATGCGGCGCGTTGACACATGCGCATAGGCGTTTACGGCGCGTGCGCGTAAAGGTCTTACGCGCATGCGCAGAATATGTTTTCGCGTGCGCGTATAACGGACGGTATAAGCTAAAATTATATAATTATCTATTTCAGTTAATGTTGATGATTGCGTTATTCCTTAATCTTCGAATTGGATGCAGCTTATTATTTTTTGCAGACTGTAAGAGCAATTTTATAAAAGTAAACTTGAACTTTCGATTATGTCAATTTCCGATTCTGGAGCTCCCAAAGGATCTACAAAACGAAAGTATGTCTCGATATCCGTCAAACAAAAAGTGGAATTGGTTCAAAAAATGGATAAAGACATGAAGAAGGTGACAGAGAGGTTAGTGAAAACGAAAAAATTTCGATTGACAAGTTAGTCAGTATTCTCGGCACAGCAATTACGTTACTTGAACAGCGGAGCTTTTTAACTGAACAAGAAATTATGTCTGTTTATAGAATTAAAGAGAAAGTATTATCACATAAAACGAAACAATTTACATTGAAAGAAATGTTTAATAAAGTAAACAAATAAATTAAGCTTCTTTTTTTTGTAAATTTTGATACCCTTTAGATCATAATTGTTCTTTATTTCCTAAAATACGGTTTCATATTTTTAATTTTAAAATTTGTGCATGCTATCTTACGAGGTTTAAACTGATGATCTATAATCCGGAAAAATCGATAATCTGGAATCGCCGAAGTCCCGACGAGTCCGGATTAACGACTTTTGACGGTATATCCGAGTGTTCCAGTTCTATACTAGGCTAGCTTTCACTAGGGTCAGTTATTCCTAAAGCATCTAATTTCCATAAAATACCTAAATTATTGTTGTGGATTAGTATACCTATACCTAAGGTGACGTATTCAGATGAAATGCAATTGTTTGTCTTGCCCATAACAATCCAGTCGAGTGGTGTTTGCACTGCAACCAGCATAGTCAGCTCCAGTTCTATAGGCCAGTGCTCCGCAACCGGTGTGCCATGAGCAGGATATAGGTGTACCGCAATCAAATGCATGTATTTGACATTTTGCAATTTTTTTCATGTATTTAATACACAATGACAATTTTTTTTTTTTTTTGCTTAATAATGTCTCTTTTAAATGTTTTATATATTTCACTGTTGTGTGGTCGTGTGTGTGATTGTGTGTCAGCATTTGAATTTTTTCGGCACTTCCTTGATAACTCGGAACTCTGGTGTGCCACGAAATTCCAGAAAGAATTTTTGTGCGTCGCAGGTGAGAAAAGGTTGCGGAGCACTGCTATAGGCAGTGAGTCTTCTTACACCAGTAAGATTTACGGCTACTTTTCCATTTCCCGGCGCAGGCTATAAAGTCTCCAAAAATTATACAACGAACGCCAAATGGTATATCTCAGCTGGTAACCTAACTGCCACATTTTCACAAGAAGTTATGGCCATTATCTGTCACGTCTTTTTCCTAATACCAGGGTTGCCGCCTTTACCTGGAAAACTTGGGAATTTCATACGGCGATCTTCAAAAAAAGCGGTTTTTACTCTAACGTTGGAAGCAATCAATTTTTTGGAGAATTATGTTTTCCTGACTGTCATTTGGGGCGCTGGCATAAAGTCTATTTTCACACCTTCAATCAAATAGCCTTTTAGCAACTTTGGTATCCAGTAACCTTGAGAATCAAGAGATTCACCTTCTATTATACTTCTAGCTAGAAGTGAAATTAAATATCTTTCACGTGTAAGCTGAATACTGTCATTTAAGAATTATATGTTATAGAAAATAGGTGTTCAGTACATATTTCTATATTATGATATAAGAGTTTTCACTTTATTTCAAAACACCAAGGGATGTTGTACTGTTACGCATTTCTTTCTCAGTGTTTATTTTGGAATTTAGTATTTCTTTTGAATGCTTTGCCTACTTTCATTAATTTAATTGAACATTTTCTTATATATTTCATACTTTCTGACTGACTGTAATATTAAATTTGCATCTAATGAAATGGGCAGCATTTAAGTACATTATTTATTATAAATATTACAAACACATGTAAATTTGAATTAAATATTTTAATGTTCTGAGAACATTCTAAAAATTCATTCAAGTGTATTTATCTCTTACGGCATTAACCCATTAGCTGCAACGGTCAAAATAAATGCGTGTATAAATATAACTACCTAAGATATTTTATACCAGCAGATGATTTTGTGTAGGGAATATTATGAAGATTATTTCTGTAAAAAAATATTTGTCTTCAACAATCATTTTGTTTATAATAATTAATCTCACATACTTTAAACAGCAAAATTTTTCGACAGGGTATTTTTGCTGAAAATATTTAATGAAAGAATCGCCGTCTTGATGAGTGATCTATTTTTAGTCAAGGTCACCGTTTATCAGAACATTACATCAGTCGGATGTTTATATTTGTGTTCGAAAGGAAGAGAAAACAGGTGTTGCGCTGACGTAACGTCAGCAGGAAACGGGTAGTCAATCTCCTTTTTCACTTCTTTCGATGTTCTGTTTCATGTTCTGGTTGTTTAAAAATGCCTAGAACGAGGTATCTTACATTAGAAGAAGCCCTTCAAAGATTTTTTGATAAAGAAACAGATGATGATAATGTTAACCCTTTAACTGTCAAGTTATTTTGATGATTTGGGTACACAAATTGTCAAATTTTTTTATTGGAAAAACCAAATGTAGCCGAAATAAACATCTCCCGATATATATTCGGGTATGACAATACGATGCACTCAAAAAAAATTAAAAATTGCCCTGAGAAATACTCGAGCGTGACATTTTCGAACACCAGTTATCTCGGGCATCACAGTTAAAAGGTTAATAATGACCAGAATGAAACTGATACTGTTGTTGTTCCCCCAGAAATTGCAGAAGCTAGTGACGAAGAAGAAAGGAATGGCAATGTTTTAAATAATGATATTTTACCAAATGATACTGCTGGGAAAGTTGGAATTCACATAAGAAGTAAATTTCAGCCTTCTAAAGTTTAAAAAGCAGAGGACTGAAATCTTGAAGTGGATAAAAAAGGAACTGTTAGTTATGTCTCATGAAGAACATGAAGAAAGAGATAGAAGAGAAATTATAAAAGACAAAATACAAGGTAAAACTATTGCACAGATTTCCAGTTTTCTTTTTGGTTTAGATATTTACTCTCTTCTCGTTGAACAGACAAATATATACGCTCAGGGGGGGGGGAAAAATGCCCAGAATTTATTGCATCTGAAGCCTATATGAGAAGATTTATTGGAATATTATTGCTTACAGGATATCAATCTTTACCTCAAGAAAAAATGTATTGGTCTTTTAATAAGGATATTTCTGTTCCTGTTGTAAGACAATCGATATCACGTTTGCAGTACAGGAATATGAAGCAGAATTTGCATTTGACAATAGTCAAATTTACAATACTCATAAATTATATGAGGTGAGACCGTATCTAAACTTACTAAATATCACCACTTTTTTACTATTGGAAATATAAAGTCTCTTTTAGATTTCAGACGTGAGAATGCATTATTCCTTTTGCAAACTCCTATTAAGATTGTAGAATTAGCCAGAAATAGATCAGCAACAGGAAGACCTAATAAATTCAGCACTCAAAAACCACTGCATGGAGCTGGTAGACATTTTATCGTAAAGTCTGTTTATAACAAAAGACTTTGTTGTAAAGAGAACCATAGCCAGACTGTTTATAGATGCAAAGTATGTAATGTAGCTTTACATCATGATTGTAATCAAGCTTTTCATGCTTGAATCTTTCAATTGCAATAATCTGTATTTGTAAAAGAAATACAGTGTAGATTTATAAAACGTTGTACAGCTAAAAAGTAATCCTGCGCTCCACTCGAAAGAACATCACACGAGTACAATCCTACTCACTAAACATCCGTAGTCATATTCCGCTGGCATTTCACGAACACAAGTCGCTTTTTCTACAGGTAAGAGGATTTTTTTTTTTTTAATTTTCAATGTAAATTTGTTATAAATGCTTAATTTAATATTTGTTATTGTTTTCATGAGAAAAGAAACATTCCTTGTAGTTTTGGCAGTTAGTGGGTTAATTAGACTTCACACAGAAGTCATTTTTGGAAGTTGAATCTGCTTTTTAGCTTCTTGGGTACTATAGCCTGATGTTGTTCTTCCGTTGTGTTGGAAGTGTACTTTCACATGACTTGCATGAAAATGAGTTTATAACAGGAGTTATTCAACAGCATATCTTTATTGTATTTTTTTAATTGCATAATAACTGGTGGGGAATCTTTTTTTGTAGCAAAGGCATATTACACGAATTATTTGTCATGCCATTTTATAATATTTCCATATTCCCCTTTTGTTTGTGTATGGCATGTGGCTTGCATCCCCATCGTGAGCCACTGTAGAAAGATGCAATTTGTGCTGCGGACTATGCTTTCTATAGTATTTTGCTATTAAGATACGATCTGTGTCCCCCTCCCCCAAAAAAATTTATTTATAATCGAACGTTAGCTATAGATCTGTTTGTTCAATGGGTGATTACATGTTCTGATTTTTCTTCACGTTTCTGCTATCATACATTTATGACTAATTTTTAATAGAATTGTCTTCTGGGCATGAAAAGAGGAAAAGCAAGGAAAAAAAGTCGAAGAATAGTGAAAAGAAAGTAAAAACCAAGAAAGAAGTATCTGATGATGATGATGACGATGATGAAGAACCTGAAAGCCCTGATAGTGCTGCTGATGTTAGTGAAGATGCCAGTGAAGAAGATGTTGATGACAGTGATGATGAAGTAATGTGTATTCTGTAATTCATAGCAAATTCTGCAAATACCTGCGAGTCATTTTGCTATGCACTGAATTCGTCAATATATTTTCCATTATAGTAGAAATAACATGGTGTGTGTAGTATTAAATGTACGATCTAGTTTTTCAGTGAATGCTGAAAAATGTTCATGCAGAAATTGTTATGAATATTTTAGCTATTTTTTTCAAGTACTAAATTAATGTTTTTATCGCTTTAGTTAATTTAGGATATTTTGCATTTTTAGCCCAAAAAGAAATCAAAAAATACTTCAAAAACAAAGGAAACATCTGGAAAAGGTAAAGCTAAAAAAAATGAGAAGGTTGCAAACAAAATCAAGAAGGAAGAGAAGAGAACTGTAGGAAAGGGTTCAAAAAGAAAGCATGGTAATTAAATTGCATATGGGTTATATGCACATTGTATTGTGTATCATTTCTGTTCCGATATATTTCTTTAGTACTATTCACAGTGGTTTTCTTCATAAAAGTTCTTAGTATCAGAAATTGAAATGTCAGTCTCATTTCGTAAAAAAAAAAAAAAAAAAAAAAAAAATTCTCGTTATAGAAGTAATTAGAAAGAATTCTGCCTACGTTTTAGAAAATATTTTGAAATTTCACCATGTTTTGAATTAATTTTAACAATTATAATTTGTAACTGCTTGAATCAGTTCTAAATTTTCAATATTTTGCTTGTTTTGTGAGTATCAAAAATACCTTCCAACCCTTTCTGTGAAAGTTCCTGCATGCATCCAATGACTGGAACTCCCCACCCCTTGATCAGTGGAGAAAGATTTTAACATTAGCATTACGGAGTTTTCCGTATACCTGTAACTACGGTCAGTGGCCAGGCAACTCTACCCCTTGATCAGTGGAGAAAGATTTTAACATTAGCATTATGGAGTTTTCCGTGTACCTGTAACTACCGTCAGTGGCCATTTTTGACTGCTTCCGAATAGAAGAAATGGCATGTAACTTTAATGCTTATAATGATACACTTTGCTTACCTGATAAGTAAATTGAGTAAACACATGCAACCAAAAGATAATATAACAAAGAGCTAAAAGAGAAAAATATGCTGTAGAGATTTTTTAAACTTCTTACCATTTAATAAATTGCCTCATAAAAGTATTAATTAGCAACAATATTACAACTACCAACATCAGGTATTCTCATGCATTCTGGTCAGCAGCTCTCTGTCTGATCAAGCAGCTGTGGTGGCTACAGCCATGCTTCTGTTATGAGTCATGCTGATTATTATTTTATTTCACAATTTGGCTTATGTCATTTGACATGAAAGTTGCATATGGTACCTCTACTGAATGACTATGTGACAAAATGAGGCATAAAATAAAGAATCAACATGTTAGATCCGCTAATATTCTGTAAAACACGTTGGACTGATATAAGTGTAAAATATAAATGTTTCAAAAAATTTTATTTTGTTAATTACTTGATAAAAAATATGAAATAACTTTTATTCTTGAATTTGTTTTATAATTAAGTTAAAATGCATCCTACTCAGATTTTTTTTTGTAATATCAAATTACAAAAGTGAAGTATGGGTGTAGATAATTGCATTAGTTTGTAGTGTTCCTCCCTTTTAACTATTAACTAAGTGTAGAGGAAATTGGTGAACTAGCTAAGTGAGTAATCGCTTAAGTTCAGTATTAGAAACATAAACTGACGAAGGGTTAGTTACCCTCTATTGCTCGGACTAAAGGCCAGTTTACATGTGTCAGAGCAGCTCGTAGCGAGCCGTTCGTCCGGTCGTTTCGAACCGAGTGACTGGACCTGTACTCTGTTAGATTGTTTACACCAATCAGAGTGGACTGACAACTTGCCTCCGTTTGTTTACGAAATCGATACCGACGTGGCAGCTGCAGGAAAGAATAACCATTGAACATATATAGATGTTGTCTGCAGTACTTGAAGTCTGCGAAGCAATTTCAAATGAATTAATTTCTGCTCTTGGGAGGGAAAAGAAGAAAAGGAAATGGGTACGCGACTGGGTAGCTTGCCGCGATTAATTAGGAGTATCAAATGAACTATTAAATGAATTTCGGACGAGAATGTCCAAAGTTACAAAAATGTTATTGCATATCAGATACAAGAATTTAAAAGAAACTCAGTTTGAGAGAAGTTATTTAGTCAACTATGGTTATTGAAATTCAAATTGACAAAGTTTTTCTACTATATACAACTGTTTATTTATACCTAATTAATGATTCACAAAATAATGTAAAAGTAATAATGTGTTTTATTATTTATTAATAGAAAGAATATATTTATTCATCCAGAATCCACAGAATCAGTAGCTCTCTGTGCTTGTAATTAATATGCAGAGTTCTGACTGGAACTGTGTTATTTCTAGAGAAGAATGCAAAATTAACACATGGAATATTTATTCAAAGCTACCATTAACACGACATAAGTAAACTGTATAAATATCTACCTAATTATTCAGAAAATCTTAAGTAAATAAGAAGTAACAAAAAACTTGGGAGCATTACATATATTACCACGGTTAAAAGAATGTATATATTACGACATAGTTCCAACAGGAAGATATTTATCGCAAATTGTTACTTTTGGATCCTACTGAAATTGTGTTCTTAAACAACACACAAAATGATATCAACAAAATTAATAATCATTAAAATAGTGATTAAACTTTACTTTAAAAATGCTAAAACGGATGGTTTAAGAAGATTAGAATTCATGTAACATAATTTGTATAAACCTTAATACACCTTCAGTACTTGCACTAACACATCCAAAGCTGAACATGTTTCACATTCAAACTAAATTGTAACGAATTATAGCCCAGAAAGTTTTTATACAAAGCAAGAAATTTAAATATCCCTAATAAAACAGATCTACATATTTTTTTTTTCATAATTCCTTTTTTAGTTTTATAGCTTATAATATCATATATTTATTGCATCCTCATGTAGGGATGCTTGTAGAAAAATGAATATAAGCTCACATAATTATAGAAGTATGCAACATCTTAATGAAGCAGGAAGTGTTCCCTAAAACACTTCATCATAAGATGTGTATGCATTAAAAATGCCTATGGTTTGGCTATCGCTTATCTCAGCATTATAGAACTCGCTGTCACGATGTCCCTACGAACGCTGCTCGGAATAACTGCCCGGATAGATTTTTCAACAGGTTCAAAGTAGAAACGGAAGCGCTGACTCATCTCCCCTACGTTTCTACTCTGTTGAAGTGAGCGTTTACATTGTCAAAGTAATCGTAACGAGCGACTCGCTCCGAGCCGCTCTGACAGGTGTAAACTGACCTTAAAGGTATACAGACGGTCCCTTTCTTAGAATGTACAACAAAGCCCCCACTTGGGCTTAAACTAAAAAATATAGAAAATAAGAACTTAACTAATGACTGATTAAAGAGATTTAGCCAACGCTAATACAGTTCTAAACTAGTTGGCCCCTAATATTGAATTAGTTAGTGAAGCTGTAAAGGCCACTTAATATGGCTGAGCGTAGTAACAGCTTAGAGAAACGTGGCCAAAAGGCAACTGCACGCTAATCAGGAACTGATTCTCTGTGTTTCTCGAAGTGAGTGGAACTGAAGTGAAAGAAGTGAGTTTGAATACTATTCCTTCTCATTTGCATTAAATGTGATTGTAAAACTCATTTACTTAAGGATTTTTAAGTTGAAATTAGGAGAGATGGGAAAGGAGCTTTAACTTAAAAATAATTGTTATAACCGTAAGATAAACCTTAAAAATTTATTCAGGTCATTTTTGCTTGATATAGGTCCTTAATTTCTTTCATTGATATTCTTCGGCACATGGAAGTGTGTACGAATCTTAGTTAAACTATGAAAATTTAATTCTGAACAGTTTTATGCATAGCAGTTATTAGCAATTAAAACTGACATTCACAAGTTAATTAGTGAATACCAACATTTTTATTTTATTGCAAATATCTTTCTGTTAATGAAAGGTCAGAAATTTATTTACTCTTTTTGAATGGTGTTTGTATCTGTTGTTTTCTTATTCAGAAAAAAACGTGTTTCTAAAGGCCCATCCACACGAGTACGCTTGCGACGTAGTTGACGCAACTTTTTTGATGCCGCTGTAAATTCGCGTAATGCAGAAGTCGTAAAACTGAGTTCGCTCCAGTTCAGCTTTTATGTCCGTAACGGGAACGAACAGCCAATAGCTGACCGAGTTCTTATCACGTGTCATAATCAGAAAACCTTCTTGCTTACCCGTTTCATTATGGCGTCAGAACCACACTGAGATTAGTTTTTGCTTAGAAATATCATAACTGTAAACAGCAATAAAATAATCAGCATTGTTCACACCATCTTCAGATTTCTCAAGATGTATATATTGGTATAAATTTCAATTTCTCGTTTAAGAGGGAAGAAACTGTATATTTATAAAGCAATGATCCAACCAGTATTATTCATATGCTTCACCTGTTTGTAACACCGTAAGTAATAGGAACCCAAATAAATTACAGTTTCTACGAAATCAAAGATTTCTGCCTTAGAAAAATTCTCCTTAATTATTATACAATATGTGTCATTATATTCATGTGTAATAAAAAAGCTCTATAAATATCCCAATATTAAATACACCAAAAACTAACTTCAGCAATTTAACAACTTCTAAAATAAAGCAGCTGACTGTGAAAGAGTATTCAATAAAATACAACTACGAAATTTTGGAGTAAAGTTACAACTTGTGTCATACAGCAATCATTTATTGAAGTTTAATTAAATTACCTTTGCAGTGACTTCTACTTGTTACATTATTTTCAGTATGCATTGCTGTCACAGATAGCTGAGTGTTCAGCGCGCTGCTTTGCAAATGGAAAGGTGACGAGTTCGAGCCTCACCCGTAGACCATATATAATTCAGTTAGCTTTTCTCATTTTGAAACGTGTTTCTTATATTTAATCATGAATCATTATATTCTTATTTTACCTATTATTATTATTATTGTTTTCATTTCTTATTTAATATTATTATTGTTTTTAATTTAGTTTAAAAATGTGCATTGCAAATAGAAACCCTTATGTAATAATATATCTGCATCTCTTTATCATATATCATCTACAAATTATCTCTTTATTTTTACTTTATTGCATATTTTATCATGCACATAATTTCTTATAAACTGTTCAAAGTTTGAACCTCATTCTAAATTCAAAAATTAAAAAAAAAAAAAAAACCAAGGGACGGGTAGTTTAAAAAGTATGAAGTTGGTTTTATTATATGGTGGATGGTGTATATAAAGAGAATTAAGTAATTTAATTCTCTTTATATACTGTATTCCAAACCAACTTTATATTGGGTTGGACGCTTTTTCTCTGGTAACGTAAAAGCGCATTCGTCAACTACGTTTCAAGTGTAGTCGTGTGGACGGGCCTTAACAAGATAAAATTCAGAACTGCTTTGTTTAGATTTTGCAATTCATAACTGTCTGGTTGTCGGGGAAATTATGGTTTTGAACAATTATAATTTTATAATTATTAGGATAAAAACATTGCAGAGAAATTCCTCTTCTAAGTCCATATAAAATACAGTCAAAAGTCTTTAATCCGGACGTCCATAATCCAGAAAGATCTATAATCCGGACCTCAAAGCTACAAACTTTCTGCGCATAGGCGTCAACACGTGCAATGCAAGACCATTTACGGCATGCGAATACTGGGTGTGCGCATGCACATAATACGTTTACGCTTATGCGTTTAATGTATAACGGACGGTATAAGCTAAGCTAAAATTATCTAATTATCTATTTCAGTTAATGTTGCAGATTGTGCTGTTCCTTAATCTTCTAATTGGATCCGGCTTATTTTTTGCAGACTGTTAGAGCAATTTTATAAAAGTAAGCTTGAACTTTCGATTATGTCGAAAAGAATTTCCGATTCTGGAGCTGCCAAAGGATCTACAAAGCGGAAGCATGTTTCGATGTCCGTCAAACAAAAAGTGGAATTGCTGCAAAAAATGGATAAAGGCTTATGCTTTGCTTCTCTAACCATTCCAAAATCATTTTATCAATTTCACGCTGCTATTCAAGAGGGGGGAACGTTGCGGCGCACAATGAACTGGAAGTGATCTGTCAGCACTATCCTTATCTTCAGAGCAGATGTTGTTATTTTATTCGGCTTATAATCCCTTACTAAATGTAGTATTTCATCTCGATGTACTCCGTCTTTGATATGACTTAAATCAAATTCCTCGTCATTATAAATATCACGAATACATATTAAATAGTTTTCTGATTGCAATTTTCCAATTTCGACTATGCGTAATGTATGCTTTACGCATGCGCGCATTGGAAGAAATGTTTAATAAAGTAAACAAATAAATATTAAGGTTTTTTTTTTTTTTTTTTTGTAAATTTGGATACCCTTTAGATTATAATTGCTCTTTATTTCATAAATTACCGTTTGATATTATTAATTTTATAATTTCTGCATACCATCTTGCTAGATTTAAACTGATGATCTATAATCCAGAATCGCCGAAGGAGTCCGGACTAAAGACTTTTGACTGTATTATTTTTCTCAATCTGAAGCTAACATTAGCAAAGCATTTTCATAGCCTTGACATAAGTTTAATCGGAAGCGAATGAAAATTTCAGGTTTTTGCTCTCCTTTTGCATATTTCCTAGGAGCAGAATTATTTAATAGCAATAATAGTTTTCAGGTTTTCCATAAAATCCTAGATCCAAACTGTCATTTATGTGCAAAAGTTTCTTTTTACTGCCTTAGTGTGGATTTCTTTGTAATTTGTATTACTCCTGCTTATTGCGGTGGTTGTGTAAGATGCATCTTAGCAGACTTCTGTTGCCTAGAGATCCTTCCAGTTTCTCATTTCTGATGATAAATTCCTTTAGAATTCTAAAGTTTCTAAATCTAGTAGCATCTAAGTGTGAGGAATTTTTTCACTGTCTTCCAATACTAAATTTATATTGTGTTTGAGTAGTGTAGCTTTCTTATTTAAAACGTATATGCAATTTTCCTGAACCATCTGAATGGTATGGCAGCTTTTATCCAAACATGATATTTGTAGTAACATGCTGCATTATAAACTTGTTTTTTTAATCAGTTTTTATTTCATCTAAATGCCATTGTAGTGAACAAATTGTGAAAACGAGAATAAAATGAATAAATGTGCAAATGTTTGCACACAGCTGTTCACCGGCGGATGAAAAAATCCTTGCTAATGAGAGGCTGTATAATTTCTGTTCGCAATGCATGAAAACTGTTGCCATATACTGTAGTCTTGATCTATACTAACTTTAATTGTATCATGTAAAATGCTTCCGTGAAAATTACTAACCATGACGATATTTACATGCTACACTAAGTTGGCATTTAGCAGGTTTGGAACTTTTAAAACATGTTTTTTCCAGGTAGTGTACAGTATTTTTTTATCATATTGTGCCAGTCTACAAAGAGCTGTATTTTTCATTTATGAAGGTTGTTTACTTCATGTTTACTTCATTGAAAATCCACTTAGATTTTTCACATATCCAATAAAGACAGTTTTCACATCATGATGAAATTTCCCCAGTTTTTTATAGCAATGTGAATGAGACTTGGTCTGAAGCTTCAAATTGTCTTTGATAATTTGTCAGAGACTATAATTTGCTTGTAATGTTCGTTTAGTTTAAATGTAAAAGTCATTCAGGTTCTTGTCCTTATTGCTGAAAGTGACAGGTTATTTACCATTTTCATGTGGAAAAATACCTTAGGCTTTTATAAATAACAGATATTAGCCAAGCTGTTATTTTTTTTTTTTAATTTAAGGATTAGTTATAATTAAGCAAGTATATTGAATAAAAATATTCTGTAGGTTCCTATTTATTGTAGCGTCTTGTCTCAGAAATAAATGAAAACAGAGCATTCTGTAGCTTTATTCTGATATCTGTATGCTGTTTTTATAGGTTTAGGTAAATATTTTGTAGACCTAAGAACATTTCTTTAATTCTTTGCTGTCATTCTATTTTAATCTCAGGGTGTCCACACTACCTGAAAAAATCAGGGAATTTGAAAATTGACCAAAAAGTCAGGGCGATTTCATACTGCGATCCCCAAAAAAGTTATTTTCGTGCCGTCAGAAATCATCACTTGGCAAATCATGCATCGCATGAGCAAACAGCTGGCATAGAGCTAGTTATCGCAGCGCCAATCACATTGTTGCTGCGAGGAAGATAAGTAGCTCAAAATGTATTGTTAACATCATGATTGAATTGTTAAAGCTAGTTAAAGAATGTACATGTGCAATAAAGGTAGGCTCAAAATTTTAAGTTTTAATGTAAGCATAATCATCTCATCATTTATTTGTAATGTGGAAAATATTTTCCCAGATCGTTTTTACTAAAGAATTTCTTTAGCTGATTGGAATATTTTATGAATGGTATGACAAAGAGAATCTGTTTGAAATAGTGTAAGCCTAACAGAAACTTCTTTCTTGTTTTTCTTTATATAAATGTAAAATGAAGTTATTCATAATAAAATTTAAATCCTCCTTTTTTTTGAAATTTTATCTTAGATGATGATTCTGATGCCAGTTCTGAAGATGAACCTATTCAGAAAAAGAGTAAAATGCCTACTGTAAGTCCCTGATTCATTCTAAACAGGTTGGCTGTATTTGTCCATGCGGTGTATAAAGTTGTGTTTCCTTTAGTTGTTAGAAAAAGCTCTCTTTATTGTTTTGTATTTTATATTACCAGAATATGTCTTCCTTGTTTGTTGCATCATAACATAAAAAATGGTAAATACATTTTGGCACATTTTGTAAATATGGATTTGTGCAGTTTCTCATATTCCATCTTTGATGCTTATATTCTTATGTCCTGTGTTTTAGTAATTCTTAAAAAAGAAAGACTTATGTTCATTTAATAAGTAAACAAATTGTGATCATACACATAATAGCAAAAATTTTTATCTTGCTGATAAAAATTCCTCAAAAATCTCAAGTTGTATTTCGGCAAAAACTTACTCATGTACTTTAATATTCTGCATGCCATTTAAAGTAATAATAAATGTTCACAACCCAGGAAACTAGAAAATGGAAGTTTTGAAACATCTTGACTGATGCATGGTAAGCTAAAGAATCTTATCAATTCTGACATGTTTTCAGGAAATATCTCTAGAAGGTAAACATAAAAAGGTGATAATGAAATTGGTGATTGAAAATTGAAGTATTCTGGACCATCCATGGATTGAATGGCTCCTTTTCTTGTGTGGCTCCTTTAAAATTTTGCTCTAATGTTCCCACCCTTGCCCATAAGCCAAGGAAAGAAGTAAGGTTCATGAGTTTAATATGTAAAATCACAGACTCAAATTTTGCATTCTTTATTTAAAATATACTCTTTTGAAAAAATCGTAACACCAAGGACTTTTGCATATGTGGCGAAATTTGGTATGCAAAAATATCTTCATCGAACATGCAAATGATCAGTTTCCAGGCAAATGAACAGGAATAGCAATCAGAGTGTGCATTTCTTTCTAGTGTGCAATTCGCAAAGTATAAAACCATTAATAGAGGTGGAAAATTTATCTTTTTTCTATTGCTGTCATTGTAATTCCATGAAAAAGCAATTAAAGATGTCATTGCGATGATCTTGAAGACCTTACAGGCAACTAAAACTTTAAATGTGGTCGCAATGTAGGGTTGCGTGAAGATGGGTGGTTATAATAGCAATAGGCCACCACCTGCAGCATATACACACTGCTGTGTAAAGATGTTGGCAGCAATGGGTGGCTACAAGGAAATTGCAGACGAAATGAAGGCTCTGAAAGGCCAAGGAGCACAAATGCAAGGCAAGACAGGATGATTGTTCGCCAGGCCCAAACCGTCCCAAGAGTATCGTTGTCGACTATTCAACGCACTACAACCACGCCTATACCTCCTATGGTGCCGTCCACCATCTCACAGCGTTTATCTGAGGTGCAGTTATGCTCACAGAGGCCTTTAAGACGTTTGCCTTTGATCCCACAACATTGTCAGAGTCGTCTGGAGTGGCATCGCAGCTGATCATCATGGCTGCCATCAGACTGGCATCATATAGTGTTCAGCGACGAATCCCGCTTCACTTTTGAAGCAGATGATCACTGTGTTCGTGTCTGGAGAGGGCAGGACAAGCTGTCCCAATCAGCATTTGTTTTACAAAGGCATACAACCCTGGTGTGATGGTGTGGGGCAGTATTTCTTATGACAGCATGTTGTCTTTAGTCGTCCTCCGTGCATCTGCAACAGCTCAACCATATGTTGATACCATCCTGCGGCTGGTTGTTTTACTTTTCATGGCACGTCATCCTAGGGCCATTTTCCAACAAGATAATGCCAGGTCAGATACCGCTCGCATATCTCTGGCCTGTCTCCATGCGGTTGGTACTCTTCCTTGGCCAGTAAGGTCACCAGACCTTTTACCAATTGAGCATGTCTGGGATATGGTAAGCTGCCAGACTCGAGCACCGCAAAATATCGTAGATCTAGAGCAACAGCTGATGAATGCCTGGCAGAATGACATTAGGAACCTCTACCATTCTTTGCCTCGACAAATTCAAGCATACATTGCCACCAAGGGCGGTTGGACCAACTACTGATTTGAACACTCAGCGGGTGATTTTGAGCCATGAACAGGTACTATAACCTTGAGTTTTTAATGATTTTATTATCTGTATGAGCTATGCACATATTCAATTTCGTCAAAAACAACCACTTCTGTCATGGTGTGTTGAATTTTTTTGGAAGAGTGTGTATACAGGGTGTTTAATAGATCATGGGACAAACTTGGAGGGGTGGTGGAGCGTACTAAAGCATGCATCTTTTTGAATAGTAATGTAGGGTCTAAAGTGACGGGTTAAGGCAGGAACAAAAAAAAAAAAAAAAAAAACACGAGGAAAATTTGTTTATGTACAAAATCAACATAAAGTGCTTCTTTGTAGCAATGTAGTATTCACAATAAATTCAGAAAAGGGAACACTAACAGTAATAGGAACTAAGCTGTGATTGGCGGGCAACGCAGCAGTAGAGGGCGGTAGTGAGCCGGACTCGTAACTCTGATGTCAAGCATTATGGGCAAGTTTATGCACAAGGAAAAAGCTGATACCATGTATGGTGCTGCTAATGGGAACGGCAGAGCATCGCTACGGTTGTTCTAGGAATGGTGTCCGAACGGTCATATGCTGAAGCACACAATGTTTAAAAGGTTGCATCGGTCTCTGTGTGAAAACGGGTCATTTGAAGCCAGCTCTGACACTAGGAGTGAAAGAAGTGCACAACAACCTCGCATTTAAGGATACATGTTGAACATTGTGCATGAATCACCTCAGACAAGTATAAGAGCTATTTCATGTCGTCTGCAGCTGAGTCATTGCACCATTTGGAGAGTGTTGCATGAAGATGGTTTGCACCCATACCATTTGCAGAGAGTCCAAGCCTTGCAAGAGAGATTACCCTCTTCGAGCTCATTTCTGTCATTGGGTCTTGCAGCAGTGTGCAGCGCAGGCGGACTTCCCATTGAATGTGTTATTCATGGACGAGGCATTTTTCTCACAGGACGGCATCTTCAATCGCCACAACATGCACTTGTGGGCAACTCGTAATCCACGCGACACACGTTCACATGCATTCCCGCTTTTCTGTTAATGTGTGTGCGGGTATTGTTAACAACTACCTCATAGGCCCATACCTCTTACCTGCACTATCATATGTTTCTGCAAGAGATGCTACTGGAATTGCTGCAGGATTTTCCGACTGTCGTTTGCAATCGCATGTGATTCCAGCATGATGGTACACCAGCCTATGACCACGCGCTGGTCCGCAATTACGTAGATGGGACATTTCCGGGCCGTGGTGGACCCGTTTGCCAGATTTATCCAGCTTGGAATTTTTTTTTATTGGGCCATCTAAAGAGCATCATTTACGAAACTTCTGTTGACTCACTGGAGGACCTCGTTGCAAGACTATCCATTGCAGCTGCAAGCGTGCAAAATGTTTGTCAGTCCCTTCTGCGACGTTACCAAGAATGTATTATTTGTGGTCGTAATTTTGAACATTTATCGTGAATACTGTATTGCTACAAAAGAAGCACTTTGCGTTGATTTTGTACCTAAACACATTTTCCTCTCATGTTCTTTTTTTTTTTTTTTGCATTCCAACCTTAACCTGTCACTTAAAATCCTACATTCATATAAAAAAATGTATGTTTTAGTACACTGCACCACCCCTCCAAGTTTATCCCATGATCTACGAAACACCCTGTATAAATTCAGTTTTCTGCGGAACTGTACTTTTCCTCTGAAATGCTTTATTAAATGTTGAATGAGCAGAATAAGAAGCAGTGAGATGTGTATTGAAACTCTGGAGTTTAGGAAGGTATAATAGCTCTGAATTAATGAGTGGCCCGTACTGTGTCACGGAATGTTTCAATGAGCATGAAAATCCATGTAAAAATCGTTCAGTATTAACTCGACCTAATTGCTGATGTTGGGATCAGATGATCCTAATGGTGTTATGTTTCAACTTCTGTGGGTTACTTTAAAATTGACAAGTTTTGTGACTACACTCCCTTATCTTATGAATCATGTTCTCATTCTATGCATAGTGGATATTTTGATATAGTAAAGCATTCAACCATCTTCTGCAGCAGTTATTACAATGGTTACAAGGAAAGCCAAAATAGAAGGAAGAAACTTTAAAGTTTAACAGATAATTAAATGGAGATTCTTCAGATTAACATCAGCACCTGTAATTTGCATTTTATCCTCAGTACATGTGAAAATGACCATTTCCAACTAGCTGTATATAAAATATGCTATACTGGTGTGCAATTTCTATTGTGTCAAATAAATCTGATCAGAAATGTAGAGATATATTAAAATTTTGAGAAATACAGTCATCAATTGTCTGTTGTAAAGCTATGTAAGGTTTTAAGCTATCTAGATTTGTTGCTATTGTTAACAATACTTTTTCAGATCACCATAAGGAAGAAATATATTATTCGGACAGTATCACTATGGAACCTTGCCTCGTATTTTCAAATCTTATGAGCCCATTAGTGGTTGAGTAGTTAAAACTACTGATTGCCGTTTAACTTGTATTCAATTTGCAATTTAATACAGACCCATTTCCCTGAGAAACAGATTGCATTATATTCATAAAGAAAAAGCAGAAGTTACGTGAAATATCGATAGTTACACAACTGCCATATGATGAATTATCAGAATTATTCATGAAGCTAATGAAGTATTTTGTAAATAAAAATTCTTTGAAAGAAAAGCATGGGGAAAATTTACTTGATGTTAAAGTAAGAGATAGAGAGTGCCAAGCTTGTTAATGCTGTGAATGATAGTGAAAAGGTTTCTTGTTTATCTTTTGAATCAAAAGTAATTCTTGACTGATGCTGAGCATATTTTAGTATTTATAGCTGACAAAACTTCGCTTAAGATATAAATTGTCATAGTATTTAAAAATTTTGCATCTGTTTGTAAGGTATCTGATTGAACAAGACACCAAGATGTTTAAGTCTCTTACCCAATATTACACAGTTACAATGTCCAAAATCTGGACCACTGGATTTACAGCTCCCCCCCTGCATGCAATT